TCAAAATAAAATTCTTTTTTACTCTTTTAACTGCTGAGTGGTTTTAAACGATCAACATCTATTTTATTGTGTCATTCGAACAACTAGACTGAAGTATTGATATGAGGCGTATGCATTATTTCAAATTGTCCAAAACCCCAAGTTAGCAAGCTAGCACCTTACTCCAAAAGTCATCCCAGTTTCCGAGCTTGGTCTATTCACATACCTTGTAACTCTCTCTTCTTGTTGTTGATATCCATTCTGAGACTGTCACCCTGTTGATTCAAGTTACTCATTTCTTTCCCAGCATTCCTCATATCTAGATTGATCTTTTCTATAGCAGGCTGAAATTATAATTTCAATTCATTTCTTAAATCATAATTTCATTTCATATACAAAGATTGATCTGTTTTATATTGGACAAGATTCTTGCCTTGCTGAAGTGACGGTCCTGTGCAGTTGATTTTAACAAAATACCGTTAATTTAATGCATGACAGATTGCTGAAGTTCGTCTGTCCTACTGGTCAACCTGTGTTAACAATCAAAAATATTAAATTTCAATACCTGTACATCTTCTGTAGTGTCTAAGTTTGATAATTCTTTCTCTAAAACATGTAACTGTTTCTTTAACCCACTTAACCTGGTCAAATAGAAAAAATAATTTCAGATTTCATAGGGAATCTCTGCTTTACCTGTCCCAATTTCATATTTAACCATGTAGTTCTTATATACAAAGGAATTCCCATGAGTATACACTGTAGCATGTGGACCAAATAGATAATCCTTTCTTAAAAATGAATGAAAAAATAATAATACCTCAGATAGCTTGAAAATTGTAATTAATTTGATGCACGATATAACATCTAAATTGTCTTTCATATTGAGAGAAAAAAATGTCTTAGCCAAAATCAAAAGTATTTTTCTTACTTTTTCAATCTTCCATCTTCCTCCTCTTGTTTAAATTTCAAATCTTTCTGAATGTCAGTTATCTGAAAACGATGAAGAAATAAAAAAGTTACTCTTCAAGAAATGTATTTTGTTTTTTAAGTGGGATGTTATGTAGGAACGTCCGCTATTATTTGTAAAATTGAAAACGTACACGACAATTCACTTTGCCAGAACAAAATAAGTCAATCTCTTTTTTACTCTCAAACTGCATATTT